AGAAAAGAGAGAAGAATGTATTTCATCAAGTATCGGTATATCGGTCAGTTTGTTCTCGGAAATAAAATTTTTCAATAATGAATCATTTGTTATGTTGAAAATAAACAAAGCTGAAAAAAACAAAAAGATGTTTTGAAAATGTGATAAACAGTTAAATACATCGTGTAGGATGACAAAACTTTGCTCATTTTGGAAACAAAATGTTACACACAGGATGCATCAAAAGCCGTGCAAATAATTCACATAGAATTACGAATACAGTGCTAATATTTTATGGGGTATTTATACAAACTAGAACAGATTAGGTTTGTTCAGTTAAAAGAATCTATCCTACGTCTCATAGTTGTCATTGAATCACATGCATGAAGTATATGGATGAATGGATAAAAATCTAAGAGATAACTTCGTAACGGTAAAAGTTTTTAACGATCGATTGCGTATACAAACTGTTGGATCATCTTCTACTATTAAATTTCCTCAGATTAGAACGTATACATTAAAGAGGTTCGAGAAAAGGCGTGTTTTTTAAATCCACTGAATTTTTGAAGATTCATAAGAAACGCTACATCTAGATCTTCTTGATGAATAACCTTTTATGTCATAATTAGAGGTGGGTCAACTCAGGCATCCGCGATTTTCCGGTTACGCTACTATTCATAATAAAATCTTTTTGTTTTTTTCAGCTTTACTTATTTTTTCTAAAGAAAAAAAATCAGCAATTCTAATTTTAATCAAACATAACAAATAAAACATCTTTGATAAAACTAGAAATATAGAGAATATATTTCAAATGTGAATAAAAAAGAAATCTAATACCGACCGATACTTGATCATATATCATCCAAATAAAAGTCGAGTGTTGATTAAAACGACCCGACGTTGTGTGTATATATATATATTCCGGCAGAATTTAAACGGTTATATACGCATATTTCCATCAATCCTGGACGAAAGACAAGAAACAAGTTAATTTTAAAAAATCTATATTAAATCTTAGACAGAGAGAAAGAGGAATAATATATAGTGAAATATTCATCAAGAAAATTTCCTTTATTTTTGTCTGAAAAAAAACACTCCAATCTCTATGATCAACTCATTTCGATTTTTTGTAAATAATCATTTAGAATATAAATACATACCAAGAAGTTTGTACGAAATCTTTTTCACGTTCCTTTTCAAGAATTTTTAAATACATTGCAATTACCTATACAAACAAATTTTTAAATTAATAAAATTCAGCAAATAGTTTATTACTTTATGTGGATGTTTAACATAGACACAAAAGCCAAGTTCTTTTAATAAACGTCGTTCTGCTTTGATTACTTCATTTTTTCGATCAATATAAACTTGATCAATTAATAAGGGTTGAATAAGACTACAAAAAACAATTTTGAATCTTTAAATTATAGGAATATTAATAACATTACCTTCCAGATCGAACTTGTTTAATATGATGAAATACATTAATAATATCTCGTACACGTCGAGCATTTTCTTCAATTTTAGCTGCAAGATTAGTACAAGCCATTGCCATGATTTCCATAGGACGACGAACAAATGATGAAAAATAAAAATAACGATGAAATAAAACTTGACCAGTCGCAACTGCTGTCTAAAATAAAGATAAAACGAAATTAATATCCTTTTTTGCTGGTAATATTACGAAAATTACTTGTGGTAGTTTTAAAAGTAAACAAGCTGTTTGTATAAGTTCACAACCAATTAATCGTAAATCATATTCAACATCCCATGGTAAACCTTCAGTTGTTGATGGTGTTGGATTAGGGTAAAGTTTTTCCGGTGGTAATAAAACATTACTTAATGTCAAAACAACACTTCCATATTCCGTCATAGTTTAGAATGAATGAAATTGTTGTTTGTTATTACTCAAGTAAGTAAAACTGACATATTGAGTATTCATATATATATAGATGTCGCTGTTTTGAATATGTTGTCTGCATTAATGTGTAGATTTCATTAAAACCAATCGAGAAAGAGTTATCTTTATTATGCTCGCATCTTCTTCTTTTATAAAATAAAATGAATTAATAAGGTAAGAATTTTTCCATAGCAAAAATTTTATAATGCCGATTATTCTGCGCCTCAACATAATCAACATTATATGAT